TTTTTTTTTTTTTTATTGGTACGTACCTATATATCGGCTCGACATATATCACTCGCGAGCTCGTGTGAACGTTGCTCATACATCATTATTTCGAGAAACCGGTATTACGACTAACGAGTCTACTAACACAATTTATTGGTGATTAATTTTACATTAAGAGAATTTGTATATATGTAATATTATATATATATATATATATATATATGTATATATATATATATATTTAGTATTAAGTGCGATTATTTCGTTGTATGTATTTCTATCAAGCGCATTTTTTCCACATCAATATAGATTACGTGTTTTAAATAAATAATTAAAAAAAAAAAACACACAATAATAAAGTTGTGTTGTTAGTGATATAAAAATAGTAATCGGTAAAAAAAAAAAAACTAACATTGCATGAAAAAAGCAGTTATTGTACGCAATTTTGTGTAAAAAAAAACTTAACTTAATGTCTTATTCGATTAAAAATGATTCAAGAGACAATGCGTTGTGTGTATATGTGTGCGCGCGCGCGCGCGTATGGAAAAATGTTTGGGAATTTTATGTTTCGTAACGGAGAAAACATATGTAAACGCAAATTATTGCGAATTGTTGTAGCTAAAAACAAAACGTGAGACCGCACCCTCGTATTAATCAATTTAAAAATTTATTTCTGTCAAAAATTTGCTTAGTTTTATTTTAGCGTGTTCCGGTATACAATCGTAGATCTATCTATCTCTGTACGTTTATTACTTGCTTCTTTCGGAAAAAAAAAAAACAAAATGTTCTTCGAACTCACAATCGGTAGTATTCGACACACAATTTATATATATGTAGTTCTTCTCGCACCTTAGTTTCTTGTCGTCACTACCGTGTACAAAGAGTTTGCAAAAAAAAAAAAAAAAACAAAAAGGACACCCAACGCACTTAACGGCTCACTAGAGCCTTTGTCAAAACGTTTTTTCATTGAAAGTTACTTGTCTTATGGGCGCAAATTTTCGTCGTCAAGAGATTGCGCAAATCTCTTGCGCCAGAGCGCGTGTGTGTGTTACTTTCTTATTACTTTCTCTCTATTCGAAGTGTTTTATCGCCGTCGCGATTGCGGCGGCGCAACGTTTACCGAGATTGTATTCTTCTGCGAAACTGCTGAGAGAATTGTGAACCGGTTTACGATCTATAATCTCTCTTCTCTCGGACACACAGGGACGAGATTTGTCGAGTACGAAGCATTAAGTATGAACTTAACGAGCGACTTAAGCATATACTATTACGCAAATATTAATAATTATATGTATATATATATATATATACTACACACTATATGCGTCTTCTACATTTAACTTCCTTAGCACGGCCGAGCGCCATTCTCAAAGGGGAATCGCTTCTTTTTTCACGGGGGGGAGAGCCACACGCGGGAAGACAATACTAGAGATGATACTTCGATCACTCCTTGCATGAGATCGTCAAATTTCCAGACGATTTTTACGACGATTCGCTGGATTTAAACATATTGAAACACATACACATGCGATATACTGCGATTTGTACAGTTAAAACAATGAAAAAAAAAAAGAAAACAAAAAACATTGCTACGGAAATATAATTAACACATCTTCTTCCTTCGTGCGATTCTCTGTCCGTCAATCATTTTCAACGTGTCCTTAAACGCGAGTAACTAAAATCTTCGTGCGATCAAGACTTTTTCGAGTTTTATTTGGCACAAGTTCTGAAACACAGTGTTGATTGATCCTCTTCTTTTTTAAAAAAAAAAAAAAAAAAAAACAAACAAACAAAGCTGCGTGATGAGGACGAAGATTACCCGATCCGTTCTCTTATTTCTGGGCGAGCATCGTGCTCCCCGATGATGATATCTCCGAATAGGAACTTCTTCTTCGCGACGACGGTGACGTTCGCAGAAGTCGGTGTTGCTGCACCTGATCGTCGGCCACTTGGTCGTTCGGAACCTGATCGACGGGATAAATAGCTGAGTCCCGGATCGGCGGGAGCATCTTGTTCCAGAAGCTCAACTCTGGCCTCCGTCTCTTGTTTGTTGTCGCTGACGGAACGTGATCGCGTTGCGGTCGGTCCGGCTTCCAGCTCGACCTCGTCAGATAGTAAACTGGTTTCTGATGGACGGGAACGCTACTCTTGGTGCTGGTACTCCCGTAGAAACTGTGATCGTCCACGGGATACTGCTGCTTGTAAGTTGGACTACTGTGTATACTGTTGGCCTCGTTGGACGGAAATCTCACGTAACCGTCTTGACGCGGTTGTTTCATGTTGTCGGAAAAAAATACGCGGTCTTCTTCGGTCGAGTCAAAATTCATCGTAGATTTCCGTACGAAATCGAACGAGGCGACATCCGACTCGATGTTCCTCGGATTTTCCCGCACCAACTTCTTCTCGGCGTTCGATGATTTCTCGTCGCCGCCGATCCGCCGCGTTGCCGGATTTTCTTCGGTACGATCGTACAACAGCGACTCCGATGAAGTAGGAGCAGCTTCCAATTCCTCGTTCGCGAACGCGACTTCCGATTCGGAACTGAGACGGTCGAACAATTCTTTGGAATCGTTTTTCGCGATTTTCTCAATCGATTCCGGCAATTGAGTCGTAATCTGTAATCCTTCGGTGTTCACGTCCAACAGAGTCGTTTCCAGAATACGATCGCCGTCGATACTGACGTCACTGGAGACGTTACTGTCCGCTTCGTCGTCGACGGTGGACGCGGTATCGTTAAATTGGATCACAATCCGATCTCGCGCGTCGATCGTCTTGTTCCGACTCGCGAGCGTCTGGTTCTGATGCGCGGCGCGCTCTATGTTTCGCGTTGGAATTGTTATGCCAGCTTCTCCGTGTTTCAAAATTTCCTCATTTTCAATTTCAATCGATTCGTCCTCGTCCGGTTCGTTCGTAACGTACGTATAATCCACGTCCTCCTCGTCCTCGTCGTAAATAATTCCTATTTCTTGCGATTCGTTCAATTTGGAATTTTCCAATACTTTGAATTCGTTTTTTTTCTCCAACGTATGTGTTTCGTTGTCGTCCCGACGATGTTCATTCGCCGCAATTGGCGCAACTTCCGTAATCGTGTAATCTTTCGGCAAAACTGTGGTGGAACTGTGTGCGCCAGATGGAACTGTGGAATTGTGCGTGTCGGTTGGAACTGTGGTGGAACTCGATACGACGTTGCCAGTCGTCTCTTTCGCAACGGTTGTCGAGGTGAGGTTGGATCGGACGGTTTGATCGGTGGTGTCGTTATTTTGCGACGGATCGTTCGAGTCTGGCAAACCCGTAGACGAGAGCAGAAGCACCAATGTGGTAGGTTGCACCTGGGTCGAGGTCTGTCGCTTTTCCGCCGAGACATCTTTCTCCGTAACGTTACTCACATCGACCTCCTTTAAGATATTCAACATCGTCTTCACGTCCAGCGGTATCTTGTAATCCGCCGTCTTGGACAAATTGGTGTCGTTTGATTCCTTGACCAATTCCACCACCGGAATCATCACAACGGGTTTCCGATCGGTCTTGTTGTCGTCGCTGGCGTCGCTCGCGCCGAAATGTTTGCGAAAAAAAATCGCTTCCTCGTTCAACGTCGTGTCGCTCTTAGCCGTTGTGCTCGCTGGTTCTTTTTCCGTTTGCCTGATGATTTTCTTTTCGTCATCCGGACGAATCGCGTCGCGAATCGGCAATAGAATCGGATCTTTCACCAAAAACGTTGCCATCATCCCCTGCTTCTCGGTTTTCGTTAACTGATGATGAGACTGATTTTCAAGATTGGACGTGAGCGGAATGTGAAGTTGCAGAGGACCGTTCGACTGATTCTTATTTCTGTTGACGGGTTTTAACGCGTACTGAGCGTTGAGTCGTTCTAAAAGAAAATTCCGATGCGCGTCTTCGTTAACGTTCACGTTTTTCACACATCTGCCCATGTTGTCCGCGTAATAACCGTCGGAACAATTGGACAATTCGATTTTCGGAGCAACAAAGACGCTCTTCGGCGTTATCCTTCGCACCTGAGTCGCCGAGTCCGCGTCAACCTCATGGGTATCAATTCCCGTGTCCAACAAAAGCCACGCTTCCCACTTGACATCCTTGAAGCCGATAACGGGCAATTTTTGTTTGTCGGATGAAGACGTGGATGATGATTGAGGTACATTGACGGACGCCAGTTCGCTGCCGCAAATCATAGCGAGAAACATCAACGGGACGAGACGGGACATTCTCCACCGAAAAAGTCTTCGTCGTTGAAGCAACATGTTTTTTTTTTTTTTTTGTTTTTTTTTTTTTTTGTATTCCTGACGAGGCTTCTACGGAAGAATTATTTCAAGGATCTGTCGTCGCGCTCAGACTGGCTTGTCACCTGCCGCTCGTTCTTAAAAACATCGGATCAGTCTGAAAACAGATAAAACAAAAAAAAAATTCGATAAAATTAATCCTCTGCACTTGCGCGCGACAATTATTTTTTAAGAGTTAAAAGCAATAATGTGTTTTGCGCAACACAAATTGATGATTATTTAACTTGAACCGCGTAGTAGGGCTTTCACTCGAACGATGGCTCATCTTAGGGAGCCAACACGTTAACCTAGTTTTCTAATCTTAATGGATACTACTCCTAGGCCAATTGGTGTAGTGAACATTTTCCGAGGCAATTTAGGACCGCAGAAATTTCTCAGAATGTTGCGCACATCTGCTTCGGTTGCATATCTCTCTAATATCTCTAACACACGCACACATTTTTCCAGAGTTTATATAAGTTGCGTACAAGTTGACAAAAATGTAAATAAATCGAGCCTAAAATTTTCAAAAAAAAAAAAAAAAAAACAATGCACAAGAGAACGCGAAAATTCTTCGAACGAAACGGAGAAACTGGCAAATTTTTGCGTTTTGCATAATTTTGTAAAACGCACTGCTGATTGACATTAAGCGATGAAAATGAAAAAAAAAAATACACCGAAAAAATTATATTCTTGTAAGTAGAAGATTTTATACTTAAAAAATCTTCTTCAAGATTTTAGATGATATTCTTCTGAAATTAAGAATATATTCTTTATTTAAGAATATAGTCTTTTTCGATAGTGAGATATATGTATGTTTTTCTATAGAAACTTTTTATATTCTAATCAGTATATATTCTTATCAATATTACTATTTAGAGGATTTTCCTCTTAAAATAAGGAACTCTTCTTGGCGCCTATTTTAGTATAAAATATACTTAAAGTAAGTGGGATATCCTCAAAATAGGAATACAATTTTTTCGGTGTAGGATCGTGTTACACACACGTTATATATGCGCATTACACGTCGTAAAATAGACATTTGTTATTTTTTCAAAGATGTAAAAATGTAACAGTTGAGCTTGTTACTAACAAGTACCGTCGCGTACATATATATATATACCCCCTCGCATATATCCTTAAAAGGCGTGCTGCAAAGTGCGTGCCTCATAATGCGCGACTGGATAATGCGAGTGCGAGTGTGCAACATTACAGCGAGGAAAAGTGAATGCACGCCGATCTGTGTTTTTACCGTTACGCAGGCACGTCGGGGATATTATGTCTGCTCTGTGAATAAGACGCACAAATATACCGCGAATTGACTTCCCGATCCGTTTTGCGCGTGTCATCACTTTGCGTGAAATATACTTTATTGTTGGTTACACACGAACTTGGAAGGGGGATCTTGCATTCTATTTTCGGTAGCAATATATATAAGCGCGGAGGAGCGCCACGCGGAGAGCGGGTTCGGACATTTTACGTCTCAAGTAAGCAGCGAGAAGCAGCAAAATATGCGATACATATCTCGATTGTTTTTTTTTGTCACACACTATCTGTCCACCTTGTGCGGATTTTTGAAACTGATGTTGTTAAAAAAAAAAAAAAATCTGTTTTTTAATCTTTTAATAAACTGAAAAACAGTTCGAAACAGACCGTTGGTACGAATACGTTTATCGATCTTTGGCGTTCGACGAAAGCGTTAGACGCGTTTAACATCGAGATAAATGTCAGATTGTGTCACAGAAAGCGAGTGTCGTCGTTGTCCGCGGCTTTTTCTCCAAAGTTTGCGAATCATTTCATCGAGAGATGAAAAAATGCGCGTTTTTCCGCGCGGAATATCGACACAATCCGAATTACAAACAAATTGCTCGATATCGAATAAAATCGCAAATATTGTCATCGATGAGTTGAAAAAAAAAGCAGTGTGGGATAGAACGGGGACGGGCAAAAAAAGTGCGCAACAATTCCAACACTTTATAGAAAATCTCTCGAAAAACTATTTCCAGCTATTTATTACGCGCGCGCTTTTGTTTCCTCCTCCTATTTCCTCCCCCGAGTCATTCTTTACAGTTTCGCACGGAAAAAAAAAGTTTTGCTATTATATGGTCAGCCCAAAAAAAAAAAAAACGGTTGACCCTGCGAAATTTTTCGTTTCATCAACAAAATGTTTTGTTGGCGAAACAAAAATTTTACTGAACTTAACAAATGTTTTTTTTTGCTGGCCATATAGTAACTAATTTCTTGCTATTCTATAGCAAATCTTTTTTTTCCGCGCGTGCCCGAGTCGAAATTCAAATCCTACTTTACAGGAAAAAAGGAAATTTCGGACGTATAGCAGCGTCAAAGTAGGATCTACTTTCTCTCTTACTCTTACATACACTGAGAAAAAAATACTATTAACTCAACTAAATGCGTTTAGTTGAGTTTCAGTTTGTTATCTGAAATACTTGATTTTTTAATTCAAGCATATGGTAATAAAGATAACAAATTCGTATAAATTGAATTAACTAATAGTGGTAATGAACATATTTAATTTATTAAACCACGAATTGTTTTGTCGAACATAAGTTGTGATAATTTCAAATAAAAGATACTGTTAAAAAAAGATGAAATAGGCAATTCTCATTTACTTTAATTGAATATAATCTGAATTTTTTTGTACTATAAGTATTTCATCTAATCAAACTGCTTATTTTTCTAAGCAGACAAAATATTGTGTTGTCCTATTGTGTTGTACATTCAAAGTTACCTGTATTTAAGCAAATTATAATTTTGTTAAAACACAACTAAATTGTCTTTCGGTATAATCTAATTATTATATCTATTGAAACACGATATCTTCTTACATTAATCAATATTTTATTGTCAGCCCGTGACCGCTGCATATAGTTGAATCGAAAATACTATTTTGTTACTTCACCAACTTGTTTTTCTCAGTGTAAAAAAAGAAAACTTGAGGTTCAATGTAGACGCTAAATTTCGACTCGGGTGGTTGCAGAATATGTTAAAATTATTATCGCCGATCTCTCTTCGCAAGTTAAATAAATTGTGTTTTCCTCGTCGCGTATCTTACCGCTCAAATAAAAAGCGCCACCGCGCACTATTTTACTCCAACTCTTTTAGAAGATATGGGAGAAACGTCGTTAAACCACACGTCGCAATTTCAATATTGCGCGCTCGAAACAACACACTAAATAGATATAACAAGGGACAATTTATTTGTGAATCATTTGTACGTACCTATTATCACATTACAAAAATCTTCGCGATTGCACTTCTCGTTGAAAAAAAAAAAAAAAATGCGCGGCAACGATGCGGCAGTTGTCCACGGCCGTTGTTCAACGACTGAGGCCGTTGTTATTATCTTTCCCTCGTTTCAGACTCGACCGCGCGTTAACGAATATTTCAGAAGATCGTTTTTTTTTTTTTTTTGGTTTTTTTCTGACATATCGTAGGTGACACCGCGGCATTTTTTGTTTGTCCGCCCTTACTTACGGAACAAGACGCGGAGTGACATATTTCGAACGTGTGTGGTTATCGATAATCGTTATCGCACACTGGAATGGATTGCCAAGGGGGTGTGTGTGTGTGTGATAATTTGTACGATAATCTAACTAACTTAAACTAACTAACTAAGTATCTCTACGTGCCTCGAGATCTCGAGATATCGGCACGAAATCTTCTTTCGGAACGAATCCTATCTCGCGTGCGAGATACACTGTATAAAGCACGCAGCGGTAGCGTATCTCTCTATTAAGGTGAGAGGCTCGTTGGAGGCCCAATAGGGGCGCCTCAATAAGTCTCCATCAGGCCTGTTTCAGACTATACCTATCGTAATCGGCAAATTGCTTTTGCATTCGGTATATAATTTTTTACTTATATAATTTATATGATTTTTTTTTTCGCTGTTGCGAAATTCGCGCGATTGCTTCTCGAAACGAACGAGAGAATAGAATTCGGTCGCGAATATATAAAACGAGGTTTCTCAAGTTTCGAACTCGCAATAGACTTTGCGCGCGTATATAAAGATAAATTCTTGGTTGTCCGAACGGAGAAACCACAAATATGCGCGCGTGGATTAATATAATACACGATTCCAAATGGAATGTGAGAGTGGAAGTTTCTTTCGAAACGAATGTTCTAAACACACACATACACACATTCCGGCGATTGTGATCTCTCTCGGCGTTTCTCGGCCGATTAGCAGGTAAAAATCCGCTTCTTGTCACTTTTCCGTGACAGCAGGGTTCCGTTCTGTTGACAAGCGCGTCAAAAAAAAAAAAAAAAAAACAAACAAAAAAAAAGAAATTTTTATCAAGTAAAGTATTCACAAACTCGGTATTTTCCAACGATATTGCCAACGAAATACCATGACCTATTCATGAGTCTCGTGCGTCGAACGCGAGAGAGCTGTCAGATATTTTCCCCTCCCTCCCTCCCCACCCTCCCCCGATAAACCTAAGTGCACGGAGAGAGATATACTCTTTTTATCTGAGTTATTATTTTCTTTTTGTCTTGAGGAGAATTCCGCATTGTGTGTGCGTGCGTGTGTGTGTGTGTGTGAAGTCGCGTGATTGATAAAATAACGAAAGGGCGGTAAAAAAAAAACACATTTCTGAAACACCCTATATAGCGCGAGGATTCGCGCTTGAACACGCGAGTGTTCGCGCAGCGGGTGGAGATCTCCGGAGATTCTCACAGGAGATTTCCTTGTATACATATCTCTCCGACGAGGCGTGTGCACTTTGTGTCCGGTCTCGTACATATCCCAGAGCCGATATACCCTCCTCTGCTAAGTTTGTATTTTTATCTGACGGCCGAGAGCGCAGATTTGACCGTGATCGTCGTATATATATATATATATATTTCAGAGCATCTCTCTATATCTCACACGTCTCACGTTCGTGCTGCTACATACGCACAATTTCCTAGTTTCAATACCCGAGACACACAACTATACTGTTTCTTGCTTGAAGAACTTGTTGCACGAGCGGGGGTATTCAACCGAGGAGCGCTTTGCTTATTTCTCGCGATTGGATTTTTTCTTTCTCTCTCTCTCTCTCTCTCTCACTCATTCGCTCATTCACTCAATCTTTCTCTCTCTTTCGTAAATATGTA